GTGGGAAGTGTCGGTGTGAGTAATTATATATATTTTCCCAAACTCGAACTATGCTTCATTTAAACTTCTATAAACATGTCTGTATAATTCTAATTAACTGCTCGCGTAAAGCCATCAGAAAGTTACATGGGGAAAGCTCACTTGCCAGACTGTTGCCTAAAAGCCAAGGAAAATATTATGTTCTTCCAACAAACGGACTATTCATGTCGACGGTTCCCAAGATAAACAGGAGATACCGAGGACAAGTGAGATTTGAAGCAGCGATGGCTGAGCCTCTTGTAAGTGGCGCTCACGAGAGCTCTGGCGGGGTGGGTGGTTTGATTGAGTGATAAATGCTCTTCGAGAAAAATGCCCCAGACTTGGAATGCGGGGTCAGGACCCTGGAGATGGGCCATCTCATGGTGCTCTTGTTAATGTCCGTGGGCAGGAGGCCACTCGGAATTAGTGAAAGGTCTGAATTAGAAAAGAGTCCACGTGTTTCTGTCAAGTCCTTTCAGCAGTTTGTACTGGGGTTACTAGAAAGCGTGGACAAAGGACAGGCTTGGGGCTGCTCTGCTGAGTGGGTAAGAATGATTTAAAACCAGCCTTCCTTCCTTCAATCTGTACACCTGTGTGTGGTGTTAGTGGTCAGGGCTGACGGGGACAATGAAAGACAAGTGTGGGGGGCTGGGCTGGGCTGGGCTGGGCTGGGAAGGGAAGGTGTACATTCAGATTGGGTCAGAGGAGGAGACCTCACCGAGGAAGTGACTTGGAGTGCAGATGTGAAGGGGGGTGATGTGACTCTCCAGGCAGAACAGCACGTGCAAAGGCCCAGAGCAGCAGAGTGAGTGCGTGTCTGAGGGAGGCCAGGAGGCCCCTGTGCCTGGGGCTGAGAGGTGATGGATGGGAGGTGAGTGATGACACCAGGGAGCTGATTGGAGGGCAGGGCAGGGCAGTGTAAACAACCCTTTTACTTTATGCAAGAAGATGCTCCTGAGCTGCTTGGCAGTTCTCTGTTTTATTGCCCTTATTATCAGAATGAAAACGTCTTGAAAACTGAGAACAAACTGAGGGTTGATGGGTGGTGGGAGGGAGGGGAGGGTGGGTGATGGGTATTGAGGAGGGCACCTTTTGGGATGATTACTGGGTGTTGTATGGAAACCAATTTGACAATAAATTTCATATATTGAAAAAAAAAGAATGAAAACGTCTTGAACATTTTGCGACACTTGCTCTATTGAAGATGAGAATAATGCATAAAAATATAGAGAAGAAAATAAAAAAACCTCCCAATGTGCCCCCCCGCCCCTCCCCTCCCCCCGCCCACACACACCTGAGCAGGACCGCTGCTGCATTTGGGGAACCCTCCCTTCGGGGACCTTCATTTATCATGTCCCTCCTTCCTGGCCCCTGCAGAGGGCACAGGGAAACTCCCAGGTAGGTCCCTACGTGGGTAGCACAGGTGAGTTGTTTGGGGATTGAAATTAAGGAGGTGTTTGTTGTGCCCTTCGAAAACTTGAAGAGCTGGTAGTTTGGGAAACGGGAGCCACTGGAGGGCTGAGGGTTTTGTGCGGACCACACTCCGTGGTCCCAGCGAACATTTGTTGAGTCCCTACTCCGTCCCGGGTGCTGGACGAGAGTCGTCTGCATCCACATCTCTTCCTTTCCCGCGTTTAGAAAAATGTTTTCTTCACGTTTTTAAAAAATGCTTATTTCATTTATTTTGAGAGAGGGAGAGTGCATGCATGAGCGGAAGAGGGGCAGAGAGAGAGAGAGAGAGAGAGAGGGAGAGAGAGAGAATCCCAAGCGGGCTCCCCAGTGTCAGCACAGAGCCCGACGCGGGGCTTGAGCCTCTGAACCCATGAGATCATGACCTGAGCCAAAACCAAGAGTTGGACGCTCCACCGACTGAGCCACCCAGGTGCCCCACCTCTCATTTTTTTTTTATTGTCATAAGATACACACAGCATAAAACGCACTGTCTTGACCACTTGTAAGTGTGCAGTGTCGTGGTATGAAGCACATTCACCTCTTATGCAGCCATTACCACCATGCATCTCCAGAACTCTGTTGGTCTTATAAAACTGAGACTCTGTCCCCATACACACCAACTCCTCATTCCCCCTTCTTCCCAGCCCCTGGTGGCTGCCATTCTACTTTCCAACGTTTATTTATTTATTTTTTTGGACAGAGAGAGACAGAGCATGAACGGGGGAGGGGCAGAGAGAGAGGGAGACACAGAATCGGAAACAGGCTCCAGGCTCTGAGCCATCAGCCCAGAGCCCGACGCGGGGCTCAAACTCACGGACCGCGAGATCGTGACCTGGCTGAAGTCGGACGCTTAACCGACTGCGCCACCCAGGCGCCCCCATTCTACTTTCCATCTGTATGGCTTTGATACCCGAAGTACCTCATGTAAGTGGAATCATGGAGTATTTGTTTTTTTGTGGTATCACTTAGCATAACGTCTTCAGGGTTGATCCATGTTGCGGCAGGTGTCAGGATTTCCTTCTTTTTTTAAAAAAATGTTTTTTTACTGGGGCAACTGGGTGGCTCAGTCAGTTAAGTGTCTGACTTCGGCTCAGGTCATGATCTCGTAGTTCGTGAGTTCAAGCCCCGCCTCAGGCTCTGTGCTGACAGCTCGGAGCCTGCTTCGGATTCTGTGTCTCCCTCTCTCTCTGCTCCTCCCCTGCTCATGCTCTGTCTGTCTCTCACAAAAATAAATGAACCTTAAAAACATGTTTTTATTTATTTTTGAGAGAGAGAGAAAGCGAGTGAGCATGTGTGCAGGCAGAGGAGGGGCAGAGAGAGAGTGAGATACAGAATCCGAAGCAGGCTCCAGGCTCCGAGCTGTCAGCACAGAGCCCAGTGCAAGGACTTGAACTCTCGAACTGCATGATCATGACCTGAGTCAAAGTCGGATGCTTAACCGATTGAGCCACCCAGGCTCCCCGGTTTCCTTCCTTTTCAAGGCTGAATAATGTGCCGTTATATGTATACATCACATTTTGTTTGTCCATTCGTCTGTGGGTACCTGGTACACACTTGGGTTGTTTCTATCTCTTGGCTGTTTTGAGAAGAATGTTGCTATGAACACAGGTGTACAAATCTCTCTTTAGGATCCTGCTTTCAATTCTTTTGATTTATACCCAGAAGTGGAATTGGTGGATCGAATGGCAATTCTACTTTTAAGGTTTTAAGCGGCTGCCAAACCGTTTTCTGTAGTGGCTGCACCGTTTTATATTTCCACCAACAGTGCACAAGGGTTCCGATTTTTCCACATCCTCATCAACGCTTGTTATTTTCTGTTTTTCTTTGATAGTAGCCATTCTTGTGGGTGTGAGGTGATATCTCGCTGTGGTTTTGGTTCGCGTTTCCCCACGGTGATGTAGAGCCTCATTGCGTGTATGGCGGCCATTTGCATGTCTTTGAAGAAATGTCTGTTCAAGTCCATTGCCAATTTTTAAATGGGGTTGTTTTTGGTGGTGTTTTGCGGTTGTTTTTTAGTTTATTTTTTGAGAGAGACTGAGACAGTCTGGGTGGGGGAGGGGTGGAGAGACAGAGGGAGAGAGAGAATCCCAAGCAGGCTCCAAGCTGCCGGTGCAGAGCCCGATGTGGGGCTTGAAACCACGAAGCCGTGAGATCATGACCTGAGCCAAAACCAGGAGCCGGATGCTTAACTGACTGAGTCACCCAGGCGCCCTGTTGTTGAATAGTAGGAGTTCTCGATGTATTCTGGATTTACGATTTGCAAATATTTTCTCCTGCTCTGTGTCAATTTTCTTTTAGTCTCACACAACTCAAGGAAGCGCCTTGCCGTTATTATCACTGATGATAAATCAGGGAGGTGATTGGTTTTCTCCAAATCACGAAGATAATCCGGGACAGAGCTGGTGATGGGACTCCTTGTTTTACAGCACGTAAGGTGTTAGATGCTGGAGGCCATCCTTGTGGAAATGCATGTGAGGGCATTTGGTGAGTTATGGCAATGAGCCTGACTCGTATGCCCCCGCCTTCAATGGCCTGCCGCTCATCGCATAACCCTTGTTGCTGTTCTTTCCTGTGCTCTTCGAGGTGTTTGTCTCTCTGATGATGAACTCTCAGGCAAGACATCTGGAGAGGTTCTCTGTTGGTCCTTTGGGCTGCGTGGCCTGGAGGTGGATGCCATATCCGCATCAAACGGGGCCCAGTCCCTGGCGTGTGGCAACCCTTTTCAACAACCAGGAGGTTTTATTACAGCAAACTCTTCTGAAACCTTCTCAGGCCCTAGAAAAGGGACACCTGGAACCACCTAGGTCTTACAGGGCCGCGTGGCTTAGATCTGGATGTTAGGGTCTGCTTTTAGCGGCTTCATTCATTCATTCATTCATTCCCTCACTCATTCATACCGAGGTGTGATTTTTCCAGCAAGGAGATTCCCCTGGTCTCAAGTTTCCGGAGGCGCCTGGTATAATCTAGATTCCAATTAGCTTAATTGCTTCATATTATACTTCTTAGAAAAGATTTTTTTTTTTTTTTTCCGGCTGATGGTTGTGGTTCCAGGAATGTCTACCCCCACCGTCTTCCTTCCTGCTTCTTCCTGTTTCTTTCAACTTTTTTTCTCCGGGACTGGCCCACACCTCAGCCCTGTTATTCCCCGGGCGATTACATCAGTTTGTGTTGCAGTGGCCAAAGCAGGGTGGAGAAAACACCAGGAAAAAAATTTATACCTGACATATAAATTTTATACATAAAGCATCTGAATCTCAGTTTTATATAGATCACACATATATATACGTAACGACATGGACCTTTTTAAATAGGAAATTTCGTTTTAGGTTCTGTGTGTCTGTTTCAGGGAAAGCACTGGACACAGACTCTACCCTGAGTTCTGACCCCGTCCCTCTTCCTTTGGCCATCAACTCCAGAGTTTTTAAAAAGTACTTTTCAACAACCAGAGGAAACTGTTACATCCTGATTGACACAGAGGATGTCGGAGCGGCATTCTTGCTGTTAAGTGATCAGGATCTCAGCCAAGGGAATATAATGAAATCCACATAAAAATTTATTTACCTAATGAAAATCCTGGAGTAATGCATAAGTGGTTCTCTGATAATAAAATGCAAATCTCAAACTATAACCAGGAGGACAATAATCTTCATTAAACGTATTGTCTAGAGGAAGCCCGTGACATCCACTTAACAGTGATTTGATTTGTTTAGTAATTTCCACGTAATATTTAAACTTTATTTCGAGCCTTAAAAACCCGCCCACGAGTTTCTTTCCCTTCGGGGAGAAGGGCAGCTGCTAGTGGGTGAGGGTGCCAGCCTGGCAGATTCTCAGGCCTGTGCTACGGGGCACCCTTCAGCAATGGCCTTTTCTAGGCGGCTCAGTGTCTGCTGGAGACGTGGGGGCCAGAGGGAGGCAGCAAGGGGGCAGGTTTCCTTCTGCGCCAGGGACCCGGAAAAGCTCCTGTTCTGCAGGAAAACATAGGATGTGATGACTGGAAAAGCTTAGAGAGGGGAAGTGAGTCTCCTACAGCTTCCAGCCCACTATTGCTGCCTGCCTGCCATCCCACCGGGGCCCAGGGCTTCCGTGAAGCTGTGCCATCATTCGAGTGCTGTGTGGGCATCTCTGCAGGTGCTCCCTGGGCCCCAGAGCATCCAGTGGCAAACGTCTCGTAGGGCTGGGGGGACAGGATGTTGGAAGCAGGGTGGAAGTGCTTTGGAAGGCTGACCCATGTTGGAAACCTGGTGTGCCATGTGTGAACTCAGGATCCTCATTGGGAAAGGGTCACCAGTCTCTCCCTCCCCAGCTGCTGTGAGGACTCGGGAAACATGTGAATGATCTGCCTGGGCTTGGGCTGGGGGCTGTGGTGCCTTGTCTTGGGCTCAGAAGCCTGTTGGGTAGCTTGGAAGGGAAGAATTTGTGTCTGGAGCGTTCTGCCCAGTTTGAAACTAAAGATCTAAGCCCTACACAAGAAAAACGAGCCTTTGGGATTTTTTATTTTTGATGATCACAAAATTCCAAATAAACAGCAGATTAAGGTGTGTGTGTGTGTGTGTGTGTGTGTGTGAAGTTTTCCCATCAAACGTAATGACCTTAATACTCTTCCCCGACCTTCTGTGTTTCCTCCCTCCCTTTTTTCCCCTATCCAGTTACAACTTCTTTTTCCCCCTTGGAATGTTGCAGAGCATTTGAAAATGTACTAAAATGAAAAGAAGCTACCAATAATCTCAAGTGAGAATCTCCTTCCAAAGACAGCTCAGGACTGTGGTTAAGAATGCAGGCCTGTTCGAAGAGCTTCCTGGCTGTGTGCCCTTGGGCGACTGCCTTGCCCTCTCTGAGCCTCAGCTGCCTCGAATGCAGCATCGATGCCATTTTTCTGTGCAGTGGTGAAGATTAAACAAGATAATGTGTGTAGAGTTCTTGGGAGAGCGCTGGCGCTTAGTCAGCGCCTGATAAATGGGACTGCTTTGTTGCCGTATGAGAAAAGGTTGCCCTGAACAGAGGCCCCGTGAAATGGAGAAGTCCGGCTGTTATCCAGGTAGTGGTGCCAGCCGGCCGGCAGGCCAGCCAGCCTTAATGCCTTAAGCCTCCATCCAAGGCCTGGCTCAGGTTACTCCGGGCCCATTAGCGACGCTGGTCAGGGCTTGGAGCCTCTTAAGTTCAAGGTCGGTCACAGGCCTTGTCCCCCACACGGGCCTCTCTGCTTTGCCCAGAGTCATTAGTCACCAGGGTGGCCTGATGGGAGAGTGGGGGTGACTCAGCACCACCCATCCCGACTTCTGGGCCACACCCCAGGGCAAGGCCTTGCTGGCAGAGGGTCCAGGGCCATAGTCCTGCAGAGACTGAGGATCCACTCACAGATCTGTTAAAAGCAGCTAAGTCCTGGTTCTGCCACTGATTAGCCAGGCAAAGCATTTAAGCAATCTGAGCCTCAGTGTTCATACCTGCTGAAGGGGGGTAGCAGCAGTATCTCACCTCTCAAGTTTGCTTTGAGGATGCCGTGTGGTTCACTGGCTGCGGTGAGCGGTGCTGTTACCTTTCCTGCTGGAGGAAGGGAGAGCAGGGGAGGCGTTGGGCCGAGGGGTGGGGGCAGGGGAAGCAGGAGATGGAAGTTGCTAGAAGAGCAGTGTGTGTCTCATCCCTTCTGACGCAGCTGGGCGCCTTGCAGTGGGACATGTATTCGCAGGAGGGAGGGTGAGGGAGCAGCGTCCTTTTGGCTGAATGACTTGTCTTCAGAAACTCCTGCAGGGGTGACTTAGGCAAACGAGTGACCTTCCAGCCCACACGCACTCACAGTTTTGGGTATTGGGGGCTCTCCCCCACACCCTGGGGTTGCTGCCCACGCTCTTGTTGGAACCGATGTATCAGTGAGCCTGACCAGGGACCGCTGGAGGGCCCCTTCTTTCACCTTCCTGGCTCCCCCTCACAGGACAGGCGATTTGGTTTTCTTTAGGAACCATCTCTGGAGGAGGGAGAAAACCATCAGAGGGCATTTGGTGAATCCTCCAGAGCCCTTTTGTGGGTGTCAAACCAGACTCCCGCCGCCGGCCTTTGAGCACAGCTTCCCAGGCTGCAGAGGACCCGGGGCAGTGGGGGGTTGTAATACCCTGAGGCCTGTGGAGCCCAGAAAGGGGCCTGAGTGACAGCCAGACGGGGCCTTCACACACCGGGTGCCAGGGGGAGGGAGGGAGAGAGAGAGAGAGGGAGAGAGAGCGAGCACGGCAGGGGCAGAGGGGGGCTGCCAGCCAGGGACAAAGGCAGAGACGGAGAGAAACAAAGGAAAAGAGAAAATCCCCTCCTGATACAACCTGTGGTTTAAAGAAAAATGTGGTTTGCCACCCCACAATGCTTTAGAGTGAAACTCTCAGTTCATCCAAAAAAAAAAAAAAACAAAAAAACAGCCACCCAGGACCTTTCAACTTTCGAGGCCGGTGCGATAACACCCCTTATCTGATACACTCTTCTGGGCCTGGAAGGTTCCCCCACCCATGCATGGAATGAGTTTGAAATGAGAAGGATCGGAGGCAATCAGCTGCTGCCAAATTTGGGAGCAAACATTTTTCTTTCTGGATTTAAATAATTGCATTGCATCCCCAGCTCTGGTTCTCCTCTGAAACCAGCCCCAAATGACATTTGGCAGGCTAACGATGGTCTGGTTTTCTCCCCCTCCTCCCTGTGGGGCTTTCTCAGAATATTTTCCTCAACGTCTGGGTAGCTGGCTTTTAAACCAGTTCATTTTTTTTTTTTTTTTTTGGTTCGGGTTTCAAATTTTATTAAATTTAAATTTTATTCCATTTCAGGCTATAAAATCTCCAAAAGTGGCTTTGAAAGTGAACAGGTTTTGGCAGGCTGGAAATAGGTTACCTCCAATGCAAATAAAACAGTCTAGCTTCCGAGGAGAACAAGGCTCCAAGGGTTGGGAAAATGCATGGGGCGGTTAGAGACCGTGGCATAGAAATGGTTGGAGACCAATTTAAAAGCACATATATTTTAAATGAAACATTGTGTGGACATATGGAACCAATAGCTTTGCCAAAAGCTCAGTTCTGGGGATCAAGTCTTAAGCGCTAAACTTTAATCTGACTACCCAAGGTGATTTTTTAGCAAATGAAAGCTCCTTTTTGCTTTCTAGTCTAAGGGGAATCTTAATACATTTTTAAATTATTTGGCATTTTGAATTAATTTTCTTAGAATGAAACAAGATTCTTAAATTGGGATCTTGTAGGGAAAAGACAGCCAGGTAATTAGTGAGCTGATCTCCTTTTCTGACACATGGATGGGGGGGGGGCCCGGGAGTTGAACCCCAACCAGGGTGCACACAAAATCTATTTTAGAGCAGAAATTTCAAAGTAAGCAACACCATCTGTTCTTTAATTATTTCTCCTTATAAAAAAAAAGTCGCTAAATTTATTTGGGTTACTTAGTTGGAAAGAAATTTCTTTAAGACACTCAGAACTGGAGCTATTAAGGCAGATTGTCAGCTCTTGTTTGCTAGGTGTCCAAGAACTCAAAATAGTAAAGGCATTTGAGAATTGACTTTCTTTTCCAATGCAGCTTGCTCTTAGCCAGGGTGTGGCTACTGGGCACCTGGGGGACAGTCTTCTGCTCCTATTTGGGGACAGGGGCTATGGGATCCAGTGGAGGGCTCATGCTCTGGCAGGACAGTCTGGGGAGGTGAAGTGTAAAGCTTAGCCTTTTCACCAGCTGATGGGGGTGTACTCCCCTAGAGTGGGGTGAGGCCACTGGGATCCCTGCCTCTTCCAGAGTCCTCACCATTCAACTGTCCATCCGTCCGTCCATCCATCCATCCATCCATCCGTCCGTCCATGATCCATCTATCAAATATTTATTGAGGGCTTACTATGAGCTGGGCACAATATTAGGCCCCATCCTTGTGGAGTATACAATCTTGTGAAAGAAAGAGATGATTGTCATCAACTCCTCACACAGATGAGCCTGTGATTACCAACAATGACATGTGCTCTTTGGGGTCTAGACCAGCACTGTCCAACAGGCCTCTTGTTGATGAAGAGAATGTTCTATATCTGTGCCGTCCAGTCTGTGAGTGGAGCTCAGGAATCTGGGTTTTCACAATGCCTCCCGGTGATTTTGTGCAGTCCTGCTGTAGAGGGAAGGTAGGCCTGGTTGTGATGCTATATTGCAACTCAGTCGGGGGGTGGAGATGTCAAGGAGTAGGGGAATTGGATTTCAAATGAATAGAAAGCTTCCCAGAAAAGGGGATGATAGAACTGAGACTGAACTGTGAGTAACTTGGGGAAGATTGTGGGCCTGGCCAGGGCTCGGGGGGAGGGCACTAGTGGTGTTGATGGTGGCACACGGCTCACCATGCCCAGAAGGCTTGGCACACTTGATGAACTCGGGAAGGGCCACTGTTGGAGCACAGAGAAGGGGGTTTGTGACCTGAGGTTACAGAGGTTGGCAGATGGAAGACCGGGGGATTCCAGCTGTGTGATTCTGGACTAGTGCCTTAACCTCTCTGGGCCTTTGATAGACTGGAGATGCCATACTTTGCTCCTCACTTATCTAATAGGTTCCAAAGGACAGATGGAATGAAGTGTGTGTACCGAGCATACATGTGCAGAAAACAACCTTGGGGGGGGGGGTGGGTTTTAATTTCTTTTCTTTTTCTCTTTTATTAAAAATTTTTTTTTCAAATGTTTTATTTATTTTTTGAGAGCGAGAGACAGAGTGTGAGTGGGGAAGGGGCAGAGAGAGAGGGAGACACAGAGTCCGAAGCAGGCTCCAGGCTCTGAGCCGTCAGCACAGAGCCCGACACGAGGCTCAAACCCACGAACTGTGAGATCATGACCTGAGCCGAAGTCTGATGCCTAACCAACGAGCCCCCAGGCGCCCCCATGCTTTAATTTTTTTTAATGTTTATTTTTGAAAGAGCGAGAGAGCGAGAGAGCGAGAGAGAGCATGAGAAAGCATGAGTATGGAAGGGGCAGAGAGAGAGAGGGACAGAGGATCTGAAGCAGGCTCTGTGCTGACACCCGGGCCTTATTCAGGCTGAGGCACACGGCTGTCCCTGTGGCTCTCAGACCCAGACCCTGGATTGGTGTCAGGGACCCATGTTCCAGTTCCTGCCCTGCCTCCTGGGAAATCCTCTTGGGGCCTCCATTTCTCTTTTACTGAGTCTGTAATCTTGCAGGCCTCTTCCAGAGACTTCATCCGGAACTCCCGGTTGGGCCAAGAGGGTGAGCTCCTACAAGTGCCTTTTAAAATCAGATGTAACCAATTGCCTTTTGGGGAAAGACTTCCTAGTAATTTTAGCAGCATCTTTTCTGGTGTCTAGACCTAAGATCAGCATTTTAGGGAAAAGTGTCGAGATAAACTCTCCCCTACCTCCCTTCTGCCCTCCCTCTGCACTGCCAGGACTCTGTGCACCCCCCTGCCCCCAGAACGTCAGGTGGCCAGATCCTCGGCCGAGCCCCAGCTATTTGGCAGCTGAAAGGTTGTCCCTGGAAGACGGCAGACTTTATTTTGAGATCGCAAATGTGGTGGATGCTTCTCTGCTGGAAAAACACCAAGTGTCTGGTCTCAGCTGGGGGGTGGTATTTGGAGGGGGGGGATATTAGCAGCTTCTTATCTAAAATAGACATGTGCTTCTCTTCCTTCTCAGAAACTTTTGCTGTCAACTGTGTCCTCAGTACTTGGGAGAGCGCCTCGAGTGTAGTCATTGCTCGGTTTTTGCTGTTGTGGCTATTTTTGTTATTAATTTCTGTGTTTCCAGGACTGAAATGTTGCCTTGGTGTCTCTCTAGATAAAGGCACTTACGATGATCTCTTTGGAATCTTCTCTTTTAAACATCCTAGGAAAGTACTGCTTGACTCAAAGGAATGAATAGCTAATGGTAGAATTTTAGCCACCTGGGTAAGACACTGACTTGTAAGGGAAGAGACCTTCCTAGCAGCGCTCATGTCATTTTGACTCCATGCCAACGAACATACTCAGGACCTCCACTGAAATACGGCAACAGAGATTGCAAACTGGTTCTGAGGATCCATGTCCAATGCCAGAATATTTTGTTTTGTGGGCCACTTGGGATTAAAATTTGTTTGGAATTGGAATGTCAGACGTCAAATTCAGAAAACATTGCACACATGCAAAATCCAGATTTCTAGCTTCTTTTCAAAGGAATCAGAAGATCTGACTGCCCTGACGTTAGCTGCACAAGCAGGGATCGGCCGGGGCTGGCCATTTACACCAGGGCGTGCACGCTCTCGCTTGCCACGGTTCCGCTTGTCCCTGCCGTATTAGGTCTTGCTCTCCGTTTTGTGTTAGCTTCCTGGCCCCAGAGCTCTCAAGCATTGCCAGTACTCAAGGGATAAATGAGATGTGTCAGTGACAGTTCCTGCTCCAGCCCTGCTTCCGGCTTGCTGTGTGACTTTGCTCCAGTTATGCCACCTCTCTGTGCCTCAGTTTCCCCATCTGTCCAGTGGGACATTGGACAGGATCAGCGGCTTTCCACTGTACTTGGATGAACTAGCCAGGAGAGGCTGTGAGGTGGGGCGCTGGGCCCCGTGTCTTATTGCCTTTATGAATTAAGGTTCTGCATTGGACTTCGGGAAAGGTAAGGGAAGTGCTTAGCAAAGTCCGGGAAACTGCAAGATCACTTCCTGCTCCGGCCCGTATCAAGATCTGTCTGTCCTGCTGCTGCCTGGTGAGGGGGGGAGGGGGTGGGTTCTTGGGGGAGTTCTTCCCCTCCCCCCCAGACGACTGATTGAGGGAGTCAGGGCAGGGAAGGGATGGTGATGATGATGATAATGATGATGATGATGATGATGATGATGATAATGGCTACATTTACTGAACAGCATTGTTCTCCCACTAAGGCAGATGTTCTCTTCCCCAATTTGTATGCGAGGAAGCTGAGGTTCAGAGAGGTTGAATAACTTGCCAAGGGTCACACAGCTGATGAGTGCCAAGGGTCACATAGCTATGGGCCTGGGTTTGTTTCATTCCCGACCCTGAGCCCCTGACAGCATGCTGCTCCTCCTGGGGTGGCTTGAGAGGGGGCCATTCTCATGTACATGTGTGGGGAGAGCTGGCTGCAGA